GTCAGCCATTGTGATCGCACTGCGTACACGTAGCGATCTTTATCGCCGTCAGTCGAACAAACAAGACGTTTTTCGCGTAACGATCTCGGACGGAGAAAAACGCGTCGTCTGCAATACGCCGCATGTATTCATTATCGTTGTATGCGCGCGTTCGCGCGGAATCATGCGACACACGCGTTGCCTACACACGTTTTATTGTAATTCGTTATTTATCCTCGACAGGAAATGGTCAATAACATTTTAATAATAATAATAATAATAATGTTGGCCGTCGCCATTCTCGGCACGTCACTATTAGTAAAAAAAAAAAAAAAAATAAATAAAATATTATCTGCACAACTGTAGTGAGTGCGCGCGCGCGTTCGAGTTCGGGTTGCCGTCGCGCGCATGCCAATGAGTGTAATATTATAATACAATATTTTGATAATAGTGGTACGAAAATATTTCGAGGCGGAAGCACACGGGTTAAAAAACAGAATTACAAAACGTGTCCGACGGTTCGGTTGATATACTGAAGCACATCGAAAGGGTTGGCGGCCGAGCACTTGGTCTGCGTGCTTTGGGTAACGTACAACAGCAGAACGGATTTTTCCGTAGAAAAAGTACGTGTATTTTTATTCAATCTTACGAACACATACGAGCACCATACATACACACACACACACACACACACACATACACACACCCTCTCCCACCGATCGAACGTTCTCTGAAACAGCGGTTCCCAAACTTTAAACGCCACGGAACGCCTTAAAATACGGTTCACGTCTCGCACATAGAGTTCGAACCCCAATTTTTCGATTAATTTTTTTTTTTTTTTTAAAAACCAATACTCCGAGAAATAAATGTCAACGGTTATTGTTTATTACGACCACTAATCTCAATATTTACGTACATACATCTTGCGGAACACACTTTGAAAATCGTTGCTGTAGGACCACGGTAATGCAGGGGCCATAACTAGGGAGTGAAAGACGTGGACTCATCTCCGGGCGTAACATTTTAGAGGGTGTAATTCTTGTAATTATTAACAACTAATTTGATATTTTCAACTTTGTTAAACACTGTTAAGACTCAATAAGTACGATTGTATATTAATTATTAGAAAAAAGTTCTATAATTGTTTTAAGTTGATTGTTAAGTTGGTCCACAATAGGGCGTAATTTTAACTTTTCCCATAGGCGTACAAATTCCTAGTTCCACCTATACGCATGCCCGGTACAGCGTGCCAAACCAGAAACGCATATAGCGGTGTGATCTAATAACTAATAACTAAGATCAAGTTTTTGACAGCAGGTCGGTGTGCACGCGACACGGGTGCCGTGTCGCGCGCGCTTTCGTCGCCTACGTTTTACACACACGCCGTACAAATGAACGGTCGGCAACTGGCGGTCCCAGGAGGACCGACATACAACAGGTCCGTCAACACATTATTTTACTTGAATACATCAATTGTTCTACTTGAATAATTTGTACGACGAGTAATGGAATAATAAAATAAATAATAAATATTACATTTTATTTAACCGACTCTTGGCTAAAAACAGAATTTGAACGATTCAAATCGAAGACGTTTACGCACGAATACAACAGTTAGCAAACGCGAACACGGTACCGAAAAGGATTAATGTTGATCCTACGGAAGTACTAAATTGTTGTTTAATCAACCTTTTTTGCGGTAAAGCTGAATTTTTTTTTCTCCTTTATTAATTTTATCTACATCGTGCAAATAACGAAATTATGTTCAGTACTTGTCCATCGGTTTTTTTCTTTTTTTTTTTTTTAATCGGCAGCCGCGAACGAAACGCGCTCATATCAAATTGGTTGTGCGACGCGGCTCGATCGGGTTCCGCGGACGGTATCTGTCGTTCAAGACGAAAACCAAACACGACATTCGAGTGAAAGAGAACCAGAGAAACCCGCACGGTGTAGATGGCACTAGAGACGTGTGAACATTGCAGCCGTCGCCGTTTAGGTTATAAATCACGGGGGAAACGAAGACGGATGGAAGTTATGAACAGTGAGCGGCATCTAGCGGACGCGGTAGGTATCGGACCTACAGACTGGAGTCTCTCGCGCCGGCAGGTACTGGCCGGCAGATGGCAGCACTCCGTTCGCACCGGACGGCTTCGCGATCCGCCGACAACCGGTCGCGACGACGAGCTGTACCAAAACCGCCGACCGATCCGTCCGCGTTACGGTATATTGACCTATGACACGAGTGTGCTCGCACGCGGACTAAACGCGACGACCATCGAAATAATATTTAATAACACACATATCCTATTCTGTACGAATTTTCCACCGATAAAAACGGTTTGAAGTACGCCGAAGGAATTAAAAAAAAAAAAAAAAAAAAAACAAAAGAGTTGGTACAGTTTTTTGCTGTGATCGCCATACGCTAGTTATACTAAGTTGTAGAACGACCAGAGCCGGCTCAAGGTATAGGCGAGCTAGGCACCTGCCTAGAGCGGCACTTTAGTAGGGGCGACATATTCAAAATTAACTCGTAAATTTTTTCTAATTCCATCGGTGTTTTTATCGGAAAAACATTTAAATTCATTCATTCGTGAAAACCACTTATCTATATAGTAAAATAATATTGTCTAAAGCTATTATATTGCTTTATGTTACTGCCTGCGCTGGGCGTTTTCAAATTATTCCAAAAATATAAATAACCGCACAATCACTCCCGCGATTTCCGATAGAATATATGGGGAGAAGCTAAGTTAAAATAAAAGCTCAATTTTTTTTTTTTTAGAGGCGGCAAAATTTGGTTTTGCCCAGTGCAATATTTTTGCTTGGGCCGGCCCTGACAACGATTGTGTTCGATAATTACGGTGCGGGGCTAAAAGAAGAAAGGCAGAAAACTCCAGCACGATTGGACTCGCGGAAAAAGGGCGTGTTGAACCATCCCCAGGAGAGTAGCGTTTTTTGAACGTTAGACGCGAAAAACGAGCAAAAAAAAAAAACAATCCGAAATTGATGGAATTGATGGTAAAATCAACAAGTGCACGGGATGAAAATTCCCGAAATGTTTCACTGCATTTTCCGGGACTTTCGTCGATTAAATGTAAACGTGGTATGCGAGCAAATCGATGAACATCTATTTATGATGATACATTTTAAACGTATAGCGTGGTAAAGTAAACCGAGCGAAACGAAAACAACAACTTCAACAGGGTGGTTTTATTTTATCTACCCTAAAATGTAAATGTTCGATCCCTCTGTGAGCGGTGCACACATCTAGAGTGTTTGTCCACGGTGTTACCACGGCGTTTTCCGCCCACAGACTACCTAAATCCCGGCTCCGGGTGTGAAGGAAGACGAGCAAACAAAGACAAATTGTTTATTCTTTTTTTTCCCCCATCGTTCATTTATCATGTACGCATTATGATTATCAACCCTAACGCGGCACCTATGAGATTCGTTATCGTTACACCTTCCATGCTCCGTACTCGCGACATCATGTAAATGTGTACAGAAATCGTTTTCGATACAATAGTTATACGAGGCGCTGCGTGTAACAACGTGCAACCAACCGATTTACATTTAATATAATAATATTATTGTTATTATTGATCTGCCGAGTACAATATTATTATGTGTTTAAATAGTGGCGCACCGATGTCGGCGATTTACGATTTAACTTTAACGCCGACGAACTGTGCGGTATTGTGTATGCACCATTGTAAATAATTATTAAATCGTTTCGAGCTGTCACATTTGAAATGTTAACTTAACAGGTAGCAGTAAAGTAGTTTGAGATGTTTCGTTCGATATCTCTCGTGGCGCAAAGGAAAATAATAATAGCTCCCGAGCGAGGTACAACTTATTATTTGTGCGTAGGATAAAAAAATTTAAATATCAGTACTTAAGATAATAACAACTTGAAAGGTATTTGAGCGTAAAAAAAAATATAATTAGTTAACGCTTGGTATATAAACATTGATAAATAATTTAGAGGAAGTTATAATAAGTTTAAAAGATGATTTTAATTTTAAAAAGTCATCGGGTTATCTCAACGTAACAATGTGGTTAACCTCTTAACACATGTTAATACAATGTATATTATTACGGATATATTTTAATCATAACATTTTACAACGTAATATTATGCGCTATAAGTGCGATACTTTGGAACTGCAAATCGATGTGTAAACAAAACTATTAAATTATATTGTCCTAAAGTAAATCTACTGGAACCTGTAGTCATTATATAATTTCAGGGAGAACAGATGGAATCATACAAAAGCTTGTAACAAGTAGCAGATATACACTACATAAGCAATTTACGATATTAACCTACATAATATGTGATAAAAACCATGATATATTATTTAAAAACGATTAAATTAACTTTTAACTCGAGGGGACAACCATATATATATATATAACTCTATATAGAGAGGAAATCGTTCCCTCCCATAACTATACAGACCTGTTGTGGAAGAACGTGGGAGGAACGAGTACTCTCTCTGTTTTCACTATGTTTTATCGTACACTCAGACTAATTTCACAAATTACTTATACGAGCAATATAATATGAAATTCCATAAACTATTAGTCGTGTCATATAAGTTAAATCCAGCAGCAGACCCTTTTTATAATTGCGTTAAAAACATTCTATAACTGAAATTGATAATATCTCTGGAACGTTAACATAACAACATAATAATTTACATTTTATTGGGCCATTTATAACGGACGGAGTTGGAGTAGAAAAATAACACTAAAAATTAATGCACTCTCACTTATCATAATGTAGGTATCCGTAGGACAGAATTTTAATTTTTACGGGAAATAAAGAAATAATCTTTTTTTATTCACACTTCACGACAGATATACATCTGTGTACGTTTCAGTATAAACATAATTTAATACAATCATACTGTTTTCGGAGGAGCGAAGCATGTACCGATAATATCCATAAATGATGAGTAATAATGCACTTTTAATACTTAACGAAACATAATGCTAATAATGATTATTGTACATACCTAATGAATTTTCTGGGTCCGACAAATCACTGAGAGACGGTACTTTTTGAAGCATATTACATCCATCCGTCGTGTTATTGCTATAGTTGGTTGAGATACTTTTGTAGTCCTGAAGTGTGTTGGGCTCTCGTTTAATGACGACGAGTCCACCACAGCTATTTTCGCCTGTTATAGCTCCGTTCATATCACTTGCACTGCAACTATTGTTGGATAACATCATTGTAGAAGACACAGACGATGGCATCATAATTGGGCTGCTTCGAAATTCATCACCTCCGGAAGACATGTCCTGTAAAATATATCGGTGCATTTTTAATGTTTACTAAAGATAAATACACATCAGATTAATTTTCTGTTGGTAACTTCTAAATATAGGTATATAGTTTACTATGGTTATAAATAAAAGTATGTGGAAGTTACTTAATTTGAGTAAACTTTAATGGATAGTAAATTTTAATTAAAATAATATAGTGATACACTTTTTTTTTTAAATCAATCACAACAAATAACTCAATTTAATTCAATTTTGTTCAGAACCGGTTAATTATGTATTAGTACTTTTGTCAGATTACCCAATAAAATGTCTACATAAGCCAATGTGGAATGACGTCTTGGCTATCTAACAATATGTAGTGTAATGTGATATGTGACGATATATAATTATAAACAGTTGTATAACAGCATGTAATGAATATCAATACTTATACATTAGTGTCTTGTTTTAATAGTATTTTATTTATTTATTTTTTAGTATTTTATTCAAATCTCAAAAGAAATCGGAATGCTTTGAGTATTTATCTACAAGGGTTCGCGTACTTTTTTCACATGGTTCGATAATACATTTTTTTTCTTAGCATTTTTTGTTGGTGACTATATTGTAATATACATAAGCGGATAACGTATGAGTAATAATTAAATATATAGCTATAATGTATGTTTTATAATATTTAATTAGTTTATTTTAAAAACCAAACATATGTTAGATACATATTTTTTTTTTTACTTATAACACGTGCGGTTCTTGAGACAAGAGAGTAATAAAATTGAAATTTGCTCTAAGTTTCAAAAAATTAAAATTGAGGATCTATAGAATGGAAATCCAATACATTTATTTAAACATCATAATAAAAATATAGAGAAATTAGAGGTAGAAATAAATTAAAAAAAAAAAATTTAAAACTACTGTATCATAAACTTTTTACATTTTAGTTTGAATTCTGTTGCTATTATGATTTTCATTATAATAACTAGGAAACGGTTTTATATGCACAAAAAATCCTCAAAAATATGCTTCTAAAAATGCTGTAATATGTTGTAAGATATGTATTTATTTTTAAATATATACTTAAATATTCACTTAAAATGTTTAAAATTATGTACAAATATGTAATATGTATTATAAATGTAAAAATAAGTATTAATTAATACGATATTAAAAAAGGTATAAAAAATCTTTTAAAATATTTTGTCGTCAAATCGACACTTGAATTCTATATTATTTATCTATATATATATATATATATATATATAAGTTGTATATCAGGGGCGACCAAACGGTCAATTGCGGAGATTTTAGAGTCGATAATTTAGAATTTATTTTTAGGCCACGTGCACGAAAATTAATCGTGGTGGTTATGAACAAATTGTCGATAACTTTTATCTGTATAATTTTTATCATTTATTCTGATTTATAAAAAAATTTTCCAAGAAAGTCGATCTTTAAAGTGAAGTATATTTTTAGTAGATCGTGGCCGAAAAAAGTTTGGCCGCCTCTGTTGTATATTACTATAATATGAGATAATAATAATATGCACTATAAAACTACTATCATGCAAAATAAAAGTAGTGTTATTTTAATAAGAAAGATCTAAATCGGAGACAATGTTCATCAGATTTCAAAAAGCTTATTCCAATACATATATGCATTTGAATATAAATCCAGTCCCTAATTATAACATAAAAAAAAATTAAGCACATACGCAGATATATATACCGGCTCAAGGTATAAGCAAGCTAGACACCTACCTAGAGCGCACTTTGGTAGGGACGGCTTTTCAAAATTAATTCGAACTTTTTTTTATTTCTATCAGTATCCAAAATCATTTCTTGAATATATTTATAGAAACAAGTTGATAGAACAATACCCCTATACATATGTGATACTAAGAATTGTATTGACTTGTAAATGTTGCAACAGTCGAGAGAAGTTTAACAACACTTAAAATATTAAAAAATTATTTGCGATCAAATATATCTCTAGACCGATTAGTCAATATTTCTACTGAAAACGAAATCACTTAAGAATTAGACATGAATAAATTTATGCAGAGCTTTGTTTCACTAAAAGCAAGAAAAGTCAATTTAAATAAAATTAAGTTTGTTTTATTTTATTTTATCAATATTATTATTATAATAATTTATTAAATTTTTCAATATTATGATAAAGATTATGTGTGACGTTAATAGTGAAAAATATTTTAAAAAACATTAAATATTTGATTACATGAATTTCTAAAATCTAAAAAATGCACCTAATGAATTTATAATAAATTAAATAACTTTACAAATTTGACGTTAAAATAGAAAATATATAAAAATATTCCGATAGTTACTAAACTACTTGTTATTTTTTTTAAATAAAAATATAATATTTTTTTCATATAGGTATGTTACATAAAAAATAGAGGGAGGGACTAAGTTAAAGAGCTCAATTTTTTTTTTTTTTTTGGTGGTAATAAAATTTAATTTTGCCTAGTGAATTATTTTTGCTCGAGCAGGTTCTGCACATATGTATTATAAAACCAGTACCAATAATAATTTAAATTAAACTATATTATTTTTATGAAATGTCTGTAATGTTTTTAAATTCAGAGTGAAATGAGGATTGTATTTAATGTTGATCACAGTTTTAGAAATATATAGATATAATCGGTTACAATAAAAGAGGATACATTTAATATTTCACAGTGGAAATTATTATGATAGTGTTCAACAAGCAATATTTTATAAAATAATTAAAACAATACGAAAATAAATGTAACAGTAACATTATTATGTTTTATCGAATAACACACAATTCTTATCAAAGTCGAAAAGTTTATACTGTTTTATGAATGGGAGATAAGACATTGTTGTAGAAAGTCCAGAGAGTTGAAGGAATGATGATTATATCATCGTTCATTCAATAAAATCTGAAATGAATTTAAAATGGCATATTTGAAAATTTTCATAGTGGAAATTAATTTACAATTAAACTTATATGTATATATATTTTAACTTCTTATAAACAAAATGTGTAAAAGGTTTTTAAAAATATATATATTACACTTATAGTGGTACATATGATACCTAATGTATAGTGTATAAGGTCAACATATTTCATTCACTCTAACCATTCTCATAATTGCCATATTATATAGCTTTTATCATGGACAGCGCAGATTTTTTTAATGGTGTGTCTTTATAATAATTAAATTTACCAAGTAAAAATTAAAGAAACAAATTGTAAATGTACGAAATTTACCATGGATAAATCGGTAACAATGTTAGAAATAACCAATTTGATTAAATTAAATTTTATTTATTTCATGATAAATCCTAAATCTTGATGAAAAATTATACTACTAAAAGCATTTTGCAATAGGTAAACATCAATCCATTTCTTACTCAAAAAAAAAAAAGTTAAAAAAAACAATTTTTGTTATAAATAAATAAGTTCATACTAAAAATGTATCTATGTAGCGTAAGTATTAAAGTACTGTTGCATATATCCAATAATAAAGCATTTAATATTAATATCAATATTTGCTTAGTTTAATACGATTATCTAAGGAAAATGTTTAAAAATATGTACTTAAACGCAACTTGTTATTGTTTTATTATATGGTTTCCGTTATAGTTACTAGTTTGTTATAGACATATCAAAAATTCTAACAAAGAAAATAATCTCAAATTAATTTAATTTATCAGTTAATTTATAAAGTATTTGTATAAATATTTATCATAACCAGTACGATGAATACTTAAATTACTAATAATCAAACGAATTCCCTTTAAATAGTATAACAATAACAACCGAATTGAAAACCTAAAATTCGAATAAATATATTATGTATAAATATTTTATGTTTATATGAGACACATGTATGAAAAAAACATAAACATTTTATTATTGTTGTGATATGGGTATCAAACGTAATATAATATATTGCATATGAACATACACGAAATTTAATTAACATTTAACCGTTTTCATCATAGAGATAATTATCAATTAAGAGGCATATGAATCACAAAAGAACGCTGTAGGTTAATAATTCCGCAGCGTAAACAATGCGCATATTAAAAACTTAATATGCGATGTGCCCTTACATCATTATTAAATTAACTGTAACGGAGAAATAATAATAAAAGGGTTTTACATTTTCTACCGTGGAATAATATACTATTTTACGCATGTATATAATAACAATCTCCCAACACTAGTCATAATTATGTTGCGACACATAAGTAAATCCGTGTGTATTGTTAGATGTACATATGTATTATTTGTTTATGTGTGAATATATACTATATTATTGAGGATTTAAATAAACCGACAACATGGTATTAAAGATAATAGTGTTCTTAAAAAAGGTTATTAACCCAAATAATGTAATATGTATTATAAAATTTAGACTTATATACGAAAATAAAGATATTTAATTATGTACCACACGCGGAATTAATATTATATAGTTAATGATCACGTTTACAAGGCGCGTAACACGCTTAAATATATATATGTAAACATAATTCTATAATATTAATTATACCACGTTAGTATATAATCCTTGAATTCAGTTCTAACCGACAGTCGTCGCCTTTATAAGTTTTCTCATTCAGACATGATGTTCGTATTATTATTTAAATACTATTTTCTTACCGAATCAATGCACTTTTTTAATCTGATCTTAAATCTGTAAAAATAGTTCCGAACTACGAAGATGTCTATAGAAAACTAATAAAAACCAAAGAAATAATATTAATAATAAGCATTACGTATTAAAGAAACGACGAAATAATTTTAAATACGATTTTTTAATCCCTATGCGACTATACACCTATATATAGTAGATACGTGCACTCTAGTTTTTTAATCGAAGTATAAGAAACTCGAAACAATAATTGATAAGAAACAAGAATAATAATCATAAGTTTATCGAGAAAGTGCAATGTGATGAACCAATGTCTGTTGAGCTTTCGTTCAATTGAACCACAATACAAATAAATAAATCGTAACCAGGCAAA